CCCCAAAACCCCAAAACCCCAAAACCCCAAAACCCCTAAATCATATCCTTAGGTTGAAATTTTTGTACAAATAATATTAGATTCCTTCTAATTGTTGCGACTCTTTGTGTCCTGTAGCCTTACTCTTGCTCATGAATTCCTGACGTTGTAATTCAATAGCTTCTTTATATCTTTGGTTCATATCGTACTTTTCGCCGACCTTGCTCTCTTCAAAGATCCGAGCTTTGGATGCTAAGCTCATCTGTCTTTTATCCTAAGTGTTAGGGATAAAACCTACGAAATTGGTTGGCCTGACTTCGAATTTCTGTGACTTTTTCACTTGGATTTTTCTTATGCTTCCTTGCTTGCATTTTATAAGGGCAACAGCCAAATCTTTTATTAAAAATACTAAAAATTTAGCAACCGGCTTACTTAAAGAGATGAGAGATATCATAACGATATTGGACAAAAGAATGTTGATATAGAGGGAAGTATGCCAATCTTCCCAATCATCGGACTTGTTTAGGAATAACATAACCGAGGAGCAGAACAGGAAATAAATTTCGTTAATAACCTCGATGATGTTGTTCTTCAGCTCTGAAAATGGACGCAGAAAGCAGATAAAGCCTCATCAGAGTAGCTGGATTATCACAAAGATAATCACCTTAGAGATCATGGTTAGTCTCTCAAGTAAGACCACCAAGCTGATTAAAATAAATCTTTTGCTGAGGAAAAAGGCGGTGAATACTCTTGATCTCCAGTTTGGCTTAATTCCCGCATAAAATTCTCTAAAGTGCCTGGCCTTAGAGAGTCTGTTTTCATCTTTGGAGCGTACCCACTGCCATAAGCAGATAATAAAGAATGAACCCCAGAGAAAAATTATAACGATGTTAGCAATGTAAGAAAGCAGATTATCATATGTGAACATATAGAGTTCATAAAGACTAGAGACCACCACTAGCAAGAAGGCTTCCAAGATTATTCTTATATACACTCCAAAAGTGAGCTGTTCATAGAGCCACCAGATGACTTTCCTGGACAGCTTCTTCTCCTCATCTGTCTCTTTTGTCTCTAAATTTAGATGAATCTTGGAAGCTTACTTTTTAACAGACTTATGAAGAAATGAAAAATTGCAATGAGGCCCACGAGAGATAGTAGAGTTAGACTGTTCACGAAGGTGCTGCCAGATTTTATTTCCATTTCTAGGGTTTACAAGCAAACTTACCGTATATGTAGTCATCCATTTGATCGAAATCGAATTGATTGACAAACGTCTTTATTCCAGGGATTTCTGGAAAAGGAATAAAACTGAGTGACAGCAAGGTAAATTTCATCCCAGTCAAGAATAGGATTATGTCTGATGGGAAATAAGATCTGGTTAGAGGCATTAGCATTAGAACTTGGAATTGATTAACCATACTCCATGCTCCTTGAGGAGAGGAAAAGCTTGACAAGACACCGATTCCCATCACAGCTTGGGATGCAATAACAGTGTTTTGTACTCCATCCGAAGCTCATCCTTTTCCTTTTGAAATCAGAGCATATCCAGTTTTTCAAGTGTCGCATATTTCTGAAGAATCCTGATCTCAGGTTTCGCAATTTTCAACCTCACAGCTGCTTTTGGATTTCAAACTCACTGAAGTTTGGAAGTTATATGTGCCGAAGCTACAACCAATTGTGAAGTTGGTCGCATCTACAGGCAACTCAGCACTTTCAGAAATCTTTAATGATGTGGACGATTCTATTGTTACCCAAGAAGGAGCAGAAGCTCCGCTCAAGCCTGTAGTAGCTCAGGTTATCCCGATACTCTGATTTAGGCTGCAGCTAAGTGATACATCTATGGACGTGCCTGGTTCAATTCCCTCTGAAATAATGGAGCTTGTGTTCTGAATTAAGTTAGATAATTATTGGGTAGAAAGTTCTAAATTATACAAAATACGTACTGCAGATATTTTATCGTAATTTGACACTCCCGAGATGATAGTTGGTGAAAACAAAAATGAATTGAATCCTGCACCACTTGAAGCTATAAGATGTGAGTTTATAAAGGAAAGAGGCAACTTTTATATATACACAATTCCTGAATCGAGGATTGATTAATCTAAGACCAATAATGAGATTCAAGTCCTTTCTACTTACTTGAATTAGTGTCTGCTGTGATTGAATACGAATTATCTTGTAAAAAGATGTCATCAGTGCTTCCAAGATGAGGATGGCTTGTCTTATTATCCACAGAAATACTTCCGATATAACCGTTCTCTCCCGACGGGCTCCAATATCCATAAACCTTGTTATAAGTTGAATTTCCTGAAAATCCAATAGGAAAGATCAGACTCTCAGCTATAAGGTATGTTTTAGTAAATGTGCCAGAACTCGAGTCATACACAGAGAGGTAAACAGAACTTCATGAGGAGAGTAAATAGAAGCTGTTACTATTTTGAGTCATTGAAATCTCCCCAGATCAACTGATTCCTGATTTCACAGTGTATATATTTCCAACAAGGCTCCCATCAGCTTCAGAGATTTTAAAGAACAGGTTGTTTGAATTAAACTGAAGTGCTACATAAAACTGTGAGTTTGAACTATCTGGAATAATACTCATAGATGAAGAATCACAACTTGTAGATGGGCAATCAATTTTTGTAGCCCATGTTTCAAAATTTGAGGCTGCAAAGTCCATCATCCTCAATGATTTAGCTGCAGGTTGAGTATTCTGTGAAGTCACAATCAGGAGCCGATTTGAAAGTGAATGAGGAGAGATTGCAATAGATCCTGTATGACCATCAATCTTAACTTCATCTACAAATGCATATCAATCTCTGGAAGGGGCTTTTGGGCATGTTCGATACAATTTAGTATCTGATCCTCCTGTTGTAAAATAGATCAGATCAGAGGAATCATTTTCTATTATTTGAGAATCCGAAGTAGGCACAACAGAAAATGAAACTGATACGCTTACATCTCCAGTTGCTCCGTTATAAATCACAATAGCTCCTTGAGGAAAAACCTCAAGAAAAGCATAAAGAGAAACTTCATTCTTTCCAACATAGAATGAACCGGGTTGAGGAGCCATGCTAGTTATCTTTTCGTACAAAATGGTTCCTGAAGAGTCATGCTTCTGAATTAATGTATGACTGCTTCCTCCTGAAACTTTTCCGTATGCGTACAGGTTGCCTTGGTCGCCCATTATTATCTTCGTAAACCTTGTATTTGTGTATCCTTGGTAAGAGAATGATTCTACTATAATGTCATTACCGATCTATCCATGACTGCCAATTGTTTTAGAAGATTTTAAGTAATGGTCTTGAAAACCTTACCTATAGTATCGTTCCCTTGAGTTGTTCACATATCACATCTCACAGTCCAGAAGATTGCTATTAGTGAGACGTAGATTAATAAAGTATTGACTCGTTGCTGTTCCATTTGTATATATTTCTCGATCGCAATTTCACTAAATATTATCAAAATTTCTACTCCGACTGGGGTTTTGGGGTTTTGGGGTTTTGGGGTTTTGGGGTTTTGGGG